TGACATGCTGATAGGGCATATTCACTTTGATATTGAAGCTTTCTTCTTAAAAGATAATAGAATCCATCAGAATTTTAGAAGTTCTCTTTTCAAATACATATAGTTGGAATATAATAATTCTTTGACTTTTTGCTGATATTATGTACAATGTGAGAATTTCAAAGTGAGTAGTTTATAAACAGAATGTAAACTAACCTATATTAAGCATTACTGCCTGAGCTCATTTATATGTTTTCATTTTACGATAATTCTAAGTAAATTTTTTGTAATCTGCATATTTAGAAAGAAAACAGGCTCAGAAATGTTAGTTGATTGTCTGAAATCTGACTTGTGTTGATGCCAGACCAATGCTGTTTCCATAGCTAATTCTTTCAGTTACTGTCATCCAAGTGTTGACTGAAGTGAGACAAGTATAATAATTTTCAAAAACCTGCTCATGTTGGGTCTGGATTCAATCATTCAGAGCTGGGGTTGAGTCCCATGTGTATAATCTGGGTCCAGTCATTAATTTCTCTTACCTTCGTTGTAGAATGAAGCTCATGTTCCCTACACCCAGGGTTTTCATGAAGATAAATAATGTCATCTATGTAAAGCATGTAGCACCATGCGAGACCATTAGAAAGCCCTTAATACAGACTTTCTGCCTAACAAAATTTTCACTTTCTACCCTTTATAATGCTACTGTTGCTATGAGTTGGGTTATTTTGTTTTAATATTGTATCCAATAATTGGGTCATTTTTTTCTTTTTAACTGCTACGCAGAAACATAAAAGTTGGAATATAATGAAATACTACATAATATTCAGTACATGTGTATTTTACATAATGTTTTAATCAGGTCACATATTTACCTCCTCAAACACTGTTTCTTTGTGGTGAACTGTCAAAATCCTTTCTTTTAGCTTTTTGACACATACGGGACATAATTGTTACCTATCGTGCAGTGTGATTATAGTACCCCAGAGTTTTTTGCTGTTATCTAACTGACTTAGTCTCTATAAATCAGCATTTCCTCGCCCCCTCCCCCAATTTTCCTGGTCTCTGGTAACCAACATTCTGCTCTCAACTTTTATGAGATCACCTTTTTTAGATTTCAGATAAGTGAGATCATGAAATATTTGTCATCCTGTGCCTGACTTATTCCATTTTGTCCATGTTGTTGCATATGATAGAATTTCATTCTTTTTTTAAAGGCTGAATAGCATTCTGTTTTATATATGTACCACATTTTCTTTATCCATTCATCAAGTTTTATTTATTGATTTTTGTGAAAAGTGCTGCTCTGCACATGGGAGCACAAAAATCTATTTGATGTGCTGATTTCATTTCTTTTATATATATGCTCAGGAGTGGAATTGTTGAATCAAATGATAGTTCTGTGTTTAATTTTTTTGAGAAACCTCCATACCGTTTTCTACCTACACCACCTACAGTGTCCAAAAGTTCCCTTTTCTCCACATTCTTTCCAGCAATTATTATCCTTAGTCTTTTTGGATTAGATGTGATAGCTCATTGTGGTTTTGATTTTCATTATCCTAATGATTAAGGATGTTGAATATTTTTTCATATACTCATTGGTTCTTTTTTATATTTTCTTGTGAGAAATGTCTGTTTAGATCTCTTGCCCTCTTTTTAATCAGATTATTTGGTCTGTTTTGGTTTGCTTTTGCTGTTGAGTTTTTGGAATTCCACATATTCTGGACAACACTTTGTCAGATGTATGCATTGCAAATATTTTCTCCTGTTCCTTAAGTTGTCTCCTCACTGAATTGAGTTTTTCCTTTGCTGTGGAGAAGCTTTTCGGTTTTTATGTAATACTGTTTGTTTATTTTGCTTTTGTTTCCTATGCTTTTGGGATGTTTTCCAAAAAAAAAAAATTCTTACCATTCCAATGTCCTGAAGCATTTCCCCCTGTTTCTTGCAGTATTTTTATACTTTCGGGTTTTATATTTAAGTCTTTATTCTGAGTTGAGTTTTGTAGCTGGTGAGAGATAGGGGTGTAACTGCTTCTTCTGTATTTGAAAATCCAATTTTGCCAACATCATTACTAAAAAGACCATCCTTTCTTCAATGTGTATTCTTAGCACCTCTTTTGAAAAATCAGTTGACTATAGATGTATAGGTTTATTTCTAGCCTCTTTTTTCTTTGTCATTGATCTGTGTCTCTGTCTTTATGACAGTGCCATGCTGTTTTGATTACTACAGCTTTATGTACTATGTTTTGAAGAAGCAGTTAGTTTGCTATAAAAATCAGCATATATCAGTGTAAATATATGAATGTATTGGACTGTCTTTGAATCCCTGGGATGAATTCTATTTGATCATGGTGAATAATCTTTTTATTTGCAGTTGGATATTGTTTGGTAGGATTTTTACATCTATGTTCATAGAGGATGTTGGTCTATAGTTTCCTTTTTATGTTGTGTCCTTATCTGGTTTTGGTATCAGAGTAGTGTTGGCTTTGTAGAATATATTTGGAATAATCCCTTTCTCTTCTATATTTTGAAATATGTTAGGAAGAATTGTTATTAGTTCTTCTCTAAATATTGGTAGAATTCGACAGTGAAAGCATCTAGTCCTGGGCTTCCCCCTCCCACATAGGATGCTTTGTATTAAGGATTTAATCTTGTTAACTCATTAGTGGTCTGTTCAAATTTTCTGTTTCTTCATGATTTAGTCTTAAGGTGTGTATATCCAGGAATATGCCCATTTCTTCTAGGTTATCAAATTTGTTGGTATATGGTTGTTAATAAAACTGTTTAATGACCTTTTATATTTCTGTGGTATTAGTTATAATGTTCTTCTTTTTATCTTTGAGACTTCTTTTTTAGTAAAACCAAGGGATTATCTCTCTTTCTTTCTTTTTTTATTTTTTAATATTTTTGTAGTTGTAGATGGACAGATACCTTTATTTTATTTACTTTTATATGGTGCTAAGGATCAAACCCAGTTCCTCACACAAGCTAGGCAAGCGCTCTGCCACTGAGCTATAGCCCCAGCCCCCTCTCTTTGTTTTTATCTTTTCAAAGATCTAGCTCTTTGTTTCATTGGTCTTTTTTGTTTTAATCTCCATTTATTTCTGCTCTGTTATTTATTTCATTCCTTCTTCTAATTTGGAGTTTAGATTATTTTTGATCTTCTGATTCTTTGAAATTCAGTGATAGTATCTGAGATCTTTCTAGTTTTTCAGTGTAATGATTGTTATAAACTTCCCTTTTAGTCTGGTTTTTGCTGTTTTTGTCATAGATTGTGTTTCCATTTTACATTTCTTTTTAGGAAAATTTTAAATTTCCTTCTTGATTTCTTCCTTCCATTTGTTGTTCAAAAGTAAAAGACATTCAATATTTCAATCTTTAAAAGTTTCCTGAGACTTGTATTGTGGTTTATCATATGGTCTGATCTAGAGAATGTTCCATGTGCTGATGAGAAAAATGTGTCTTTAGCAGCTATTGGATGGAATGTTCTGTAGATAACTGTGAGGTCCATTTGGCCTCAAGTGCAATATAATTCAGTTTCATTATTGATTTTGTGTCAGGACATACTCTCTCTTTAGGTCTATTAATACATTATGTATTTGGATGTTCCAATATTGTATGCACATGTATGTAGAATTGTTATTGCCTCTTGCTGAATTGATTCTTTTATCATTATGTAATGTCCTTCCTTATCTCTTTTTACAGATTTTGATTTAAAATCCATTTTATTTTATGTTAATATGGCTACTATGCATTCTTTTGCCTCCTATTTGCATAGAATATTTTATTCTTTCACTTTTAGTTTATGTGTGTCTTTAGAAGTGAGGTGAGTTTCTTAAAAGCAAAATGTAGTTGGATCTTGTTTTTTTTTTTTTAATCCATTCAGTCTATATCTTCAATTGGAAAATAAAATTGTTAGAATTCATGTTTACATTCAAGGTCATTATTGATAGGTAAGTTCTTACCACAGACGTTATTTAACTTGTGTCCTAGTTTTGTTGTAGTTCTTTCTGTCTTGTCTTACTTTGTGGTTAAATGAATTACTCTAGTAGTGTGTTTTGATTCCTTGATTATTATTTTGGGTTTGTTACAGACTTTTGTTTGTTACAGACTTTTGTTTTGTGGTTCCTATGAGGCTTACAAAAAATGTCTTAATTTTAACAAGCTTTTGAAATGTTAGAAACTGATTTCTTTAGCTCTTGTGCTGGTAGTTTGGTGCATGAATAGCTCTTCAACTTGGTGTATCTATGGGAAGAGAAATCCAGAAGATCTTTCTTGACTACTGATGTCTTGCTCTGCCCCTTCCATTTGGATCATCTTGAACATGATGATATCTCAAAATGTCTAAAGGATGTAGTTCTTTTTCTTTTTTATTGTATCAAGCAATTGCCTCCACTTTCAGAAATAACCTTTATTTTTATGGTCTATGTCTTGGGTATATGAAGAATACTGCAGTAATATTTGCTTTCTTAAGACTATATACACATTTTAAATGGGAAAATTTTATCTGGTGTCTTAAGTTGCTTGCAATTTAACATTTCAAGCACTATTGTTAGCTATGACTTCCTTACCACAACTTAATGCAATTAATATTAGAATCAGTCCCTGGTATCCTAATCCGGTATCCCACAAATTGCTAACTAAAGGATTACCTAACTTTAAATAAAGGTGATTTAAAATGGAGAACAAGCACAGATTGCATCCAGAAGTACTTAAGAGAACTCTCATTGTCTTCAAATTGTAGATAACATATTCAGAACTTTCTATAATTAATGTAAGAAATGGGTGACACGTTGTATACACAGCATTCTTTGTGTGCCTGGTGTACAACAGGCTTTCTCTCCCCATCTGCTGATGGGAAGATATTAAGTTTGATAGAAATGTCTTGATTTTGTGGTTCTTTCCTTCTCAAATAATATCACTTTACCAACTATCTGTCACTGATAACTCTGTCCTATTTCAGATGTTTAATTTTATAATAATGAGTTTACTTATAAAGTAAATCATTGGATTTGTTCCCACCAGTGATACCAAGAAGAAGCAGGAAATGAAGAAAAGGAACAACAGTGAAGTGGAAGATGTGGGACCAACAAGTCATCATAGAAAGAAGGCCAAGTGGGAAACCTTAGAACCTTTGGATACAGGCCTGTCTTTAGCAGAGGATGAAGAGCTGGTGTTACATCTACTCAAAAATCAAAGCTAAATACTTCCCATGCCTGTCTGCTCTTTGATACTTCTGGACATCATTACGTTGAGAAGAAGTTAGAACACAGTTGACTTTGGGGCCTGTAGATATCATATGTCCCATTCCCAAAGGACACATTCTTCAGACAAAAGCAATTACATCTCTGAGCCCCTTCACAAGCCATGCTTTGCACCATTACAGAACATATTCAGAGTAAGGGTGGGATATTTAGTTTCTTGGTCTCATTTTGCAATGTGTGCTGTTAAATTTTATAGGTGGGTTCCTGCCCCTTCTCACTGAAATGCTCCTTTGTTTTACTGGCAAGTTCTGGAGCCTTGTTTCATAGTTGGAAATTCCTGTATCGCTATGCAGAAGTCTCAGTGTAACTTAAAATGGCTCTTAATTTTAAGGTATATTTCGTATTTTCAAAGAGATAGAGTATGGTGCACCAGCCTTGGAAAAGGAGTATTTTTTAATTGAAATGATCATTAATAAACATATTTCCTATAAAATAAAGTATTAATGTTTTCATTGTGTCCAATGATATAAAACCCTCTCTCAAGGGGACTTAATGTTCTTAAGGTTAAAATGCAAGGCCAGCTGGGCATGGTGGCACACGCCTGTAATCGCAGAGAATCGGAAGGCTGAGGCAGGAGGATCACAAGTTCAAAGTCAGCCTCAGCAAAAGCAAGGCTCTAAGCAAGTCAGTGAAACCCTGTTTCTAAATAAATAGAGCTGGGGACGTGGCTCAGTGATTGAATGCTCCTAAGTTCAGTCCCCGGTACCAAAAATAAAATAAAATGCATGGCCAATTGCTGAAGCAGTGTATTCTTCATATTAAGTTAGTCTGGTCAGGGTTGGGGATGTGGCTCAAGCGGTAGCGCGCTTGCCTGGCGTGCGTGCGGCCCAGGTTCGATCCTTAGCACCACATACAAACAAAGATGCTGTGTCTGCCGGAAACTAAAAGAAAAAAAAAAGTTAGTCTGGTCAAAGATGATATCATTTTGCTTACACGTGCAGATTTGTTAGCAATCATTTATGAAATCTGTGAAAATCCAGAATCTAAGCAGTAAAGGCTGGAGACCTTCTGTGGGCACTCTGTTCAACAGATACTGTAGAGCTTCCAAACCAACTCTTGATAATGAGGGGGAAAGCAAAATGAGACAGAACTACTCTTTTGTTATAAATGTTAGATTCTTCAGAGGGACAGAAAGTGGTGAAGAAATCCAGGCCTTCATGAAACAACTGTTTTTTTTTTTTTTTTTTTTTTTTTTTTTTTAAACAAATTTGTTATCCTATGCTTTACTGTTTCTATTAGTTTCTCCTCCATAGTGACCTTTTTATCCATTGTTTAACCTCACAGCTTCTGCCTTCAGTCACAGTTCCTACTATAATCAGGACTTGCCCAGACTACTGCAGCATCGCCTGACTGATCACCATGCTTCTGGTATCACTTTCTCCAACTCAACCTTCTCAGGGAATTTTCTTCATAGCCCATGGAGCTGAGCATGTTTCTCCTAGCTGTTCCTTTTATTATAGTGCTTATCATGTGATGTTATAGATGTTTGTTTATAAACCTGTTGCTCTGATATGTGACAAGTTTCTTGAGAAAAAAAAAGAGTTATATTTTATATACCTGTATATCCCCAGAGCCAAATACAGCATCTGCCCTATATTTGGCCTAGTGAATTAGTAGACAGTAATAACACAAGATAATTTTTAGAGGTCTTTTATAGCACTTTGCTCTGTTACTTCTAATAAGAAGGACATAGAGTTATGGACTTGAAAACTAGATAAAGTGGCTAAGGGTAGGTAGATGGGAAAGAAATTCAGGGTGTAACAATCTGGAAAGATTTGGAAATAATGTTTCTGATGCAGAGTCTCTTGGCCTTGAATATTTTCAAATATGATAAAGTTGCAAGAATATATAAACTGAAGATTGAATTACTATTGAATTTACTCTTCATTTTTAGATTGTTCTTCCTAACACAAATAGGGAAGTAGGTCAGTTTAATTACTCCCTAGATATAAACATTAAATAGATAAATTTCAAGGCTGTTGGTTCATAAACTAATTTGAGTTGTATCCTGTCCCTGGAACTAAATGGATCCTGACTAATATGTTCATTATTGAGTTTTTAGTAGCTTTTGGAAACTAGTTAAAATATAAGTACAGTGCTAATAGAAAACTTATGTAACAAATGTGTGTGTGTGTGCAATTTTTGTTGTTGTTGTAGTTCAGGGGCACTTCACCACTGAACTACATTCCTGGCTCTTTTTATTTTGAGACAGGGTCTTGCTCAGTGCTGAGGCTCAAACTTGTGATGTTCCTGCCTCAGCCTTTGGAGTTTCTAGGATTACAGGTGTGTGCCACTATACCCACAAATATTTATGTTAACAGATTAAATTAGCTACTTTTCTGCCTATTTGTATTTTAGCCTCATGTATGGGAAGGAGCAGTAAGAGACCTTGTCATCTCTGACATCAGAGGACACATGGTCCAGATCTGGTCAGCTATCAAAGCCTTTCTCCTAGACACAGATATGGGCCCAAAAGTGATTATAATATTCAGTTCAGGACAGTTAGACACCTTTCCTGTGAGTGATTTGCGTAAGGTGAGAAATTATCCATAAAGAGTTACAACAAAAATGGAGGATATGGATCTGGGTTTTTGCAGCCATTGACTCCTGCTAAATGGGGTCACCTCTGAGAGACTGGGGAGAAGATGATCAACACACTGAGGTAACCAGAGTGAAGGGCTAGAGAGCCCTGATGGCATTGTTGAAGCCCCAGGACTTCAACTTAACCTACTCCTTGGACTTCCTAAGTATGTCATGAGTCAGTAATTTTTTTTCTAAACTAGTTTGAAATTGTACTTTGTATTGGAACTGAATGGATCCTAACCTATATAATATTGTAGTGGATTTTAGTTTGACTTGAAAACTAGTTAAAACATTAGAATAGTGCTGATAGAAAATTTAGGCACAGTAGATTGTTTTATTAGCATATGTTCACTCCAGTCCTCTTTTTTCCTTTGGGAAGGATATTTTTAACAGGGCACTGATGTTGGGCTCATCCGTATGACTTGCTTTTAGCCCATGTATTTGGTGGAAGTGGCTGTGTTCTGGTCATAAGCAGAAGTTCTCTGTTAGCTCTCCTGTACTCCTGCCTCCCACCTTCTGACCAGTATGGACCAGAGAGAAGATACGCCTTCAGTGTGGGCCCAGGGCAGGCAGACGGGTGAAGCTCACTATAGCCTCCACAGTCACTTATCAAGCTTGTGGAAAGAAAACCAGTGACCCTGGGGCTTATCACGGGAATACCTGATTAACATACAAGGTGAGAGAAGCATATAGCCAAGGAGAAAGAGCAGGCATTTCTTTAAGTGTTAATAAATCCAGTGACTACCATATGCCAGGCCCTGTGTTTGTGGGAAATCCAAACAGTTCCTTTCCTGCTACCATATTGGGGTATACTTTTAGTGTACCATGAAAAGAGGAAGATTATTGTTTTATTGAGGGAGCTATTGTTGAAGTGCTGGAAAGAGAGAAGACAGGTAGTTAGCATGTCCAGGATCCAAAGACTAATTTTTGCTGTTTTACTGAGGCCGAGAGGCCATTTGTCTGACTTGCTCATGTAAAATGATCCCTAAAATTACATAAGTCTCTGATAGATATACCCAACAGCAGAAGCCTTTGGAGGACTGCCATCTCATAAGCTTCACATGGCACTTTAGATTTGTTTGGGGCTATAAAAAATGGATAAGTTTAATTAAATATAATTAATTTTGTTACACAACACTTGAAATATCCTGAACATGAAAAGTCCTCTCTGAGACTATCAGAGGATGCAGGTGTTCCCAGGAGGTGGTGGTGTAGGTAGGCGAAGGGGAAAGAATCAGCAACCAACATCAAACCTATTTCATATGTTTTAAGACCACTTCAACTAGACTTGTAACCATAGGGTGATTTCCTTCAACAGCTCCTGCTGACTAGACAGCCCAGGGCTGATATATTTTAAACCATATTACCTAGTGCTTGCTGAATCAGCAACTGGCAGCCAAACCTTTATTTACCCTTTGAGGCGCACCGGCAAAAAGCTCTGTTCAAACAGGGACAAACTGGACAAATAATATTATTCTCAGACACTGAAATTTAGTGAGCAAAGTGGGAAGCCTATGAGACTCACATGCTGGGAAAAAAAAAAAAAAAAAACTCAAATTAGGACAAAGTGTAAGTGAAAACTCTGGTAGGAAAATAAAAAGAATAATAAGAGATCCCATGGTTCATGGGGGACCAGAAACCATGTGTGGGCAGGGGTGAATCATGGCTGGGGATGGCTAGGGAAGGCCCGCCCACTCTGGTTTTGATATCTCTGTGATCCAAACTGACCCTCTTATTCTTGTTACCATGAGACTTGATAAGAGAAAAAATTCTCAGATGTCTTAAATTTAATTACAAGTGTCTGAGAAGAGAAATGTGGGAGGCTAAGAAGGACAAAAGACCATTTTACATTCCTGAATGTGTATTAAAACCTTAACCCCAATCCCATCAGGACACCCTAGGTACCACTGCATTTTGCTTAACCCACCACTTCATACGTAAAGATTGTCCTTATGGAGTATCCTCCCACCCCAGAGCTTTCCCTCATTCATTTAATTCTGCCCCTCTTATCTACAGCCAATGTAGGTTCAACAGGAACAACTTATACCTTCCTTCACGAGATTTTTTAATTAAAAAATACTCTTAGCTCTGATCCAGCAGACATTTTGCCACTGCTACCTAGTCTTGCTACTTGTAGCTGCAAAGACTTGTCCTAGGACCAGTCCTTTTCTGGTCTGCTTCTATAATGGCTCAATAATCCTTTTTAATTCAGGGACCCCTTGGTCTCAAGAATTTTGGTTTCATAGGCCTAACCTTCTCATGGGTCTTATTCTTAGGTTTCTGGGTAAGTATGTCTGACTTATGAGACCCCATCACTGGAGCTAGTTCAAATGAATCTTTGAGTGTTTTGCACTCCACAAAGCTTCACTGAAATTCAGAATACTCTAAGGCAGAGCTTCTTAGATGTCAAGATGCATAAGAGTCACCAGGAAATTTTTAAAATATCAAATTCAGATCCAGTAGGTCTGGGGTGGGGCCTGAGATTGTACGTTTCTAACCAGCAGGGGATGGCAATGCTGCTGACCCATGGTCACATTTGAGTGTTGAACCTCTAATGGAATTCAGAGAGAGAGAGAGAGAGAGCTATTAAAATAATTATTCACAAAGATATCCTATCAGAGCCCCAGCAGGAAATAGGTGGTGCATACAAATTAGGATAATTCTAAGGGAGGTTAATAAAAGGATTATTTACACACAAGAGGGCAGGATATAAGGGAACACAAAGGATTTCTACCACCCCTCATCCTGAGAGGATTGGGGTAGGGTGAGGGGAGTAGTTGGTTACCAAAATCCTGAAGGAGACAGATGAGTGCACACAGTGGCTTTATGACCTTTAGTTGAGATATGCACCCAGCCTGTGGTGACACTA